CATATTTCTTCTCTGGAAAACTGCTTATATTTACTAATTTGGAGACTCTACCATTCACTACTCAAAAGTTTCAAGTCAGAAATCCCAGGAACCATTTTAGGTTCCTCCCTTCCTTTTACCTCCCTCCAAGCTCTATGCCATCTCTCTCACATTTATTCTGTCTCCTCTTAATGCATTTGATTCTATTTCCACTGTCCCACAGGCCCTCAACATTTCCTCATGCAAGTCCTCTAGACTCATGCCTTTCCAGTCATTTTTACTCTTTCCAGGAATGATCATTCTATAACAGAAATTTGATCCTGTTACCCTCTCTTAAACTTCAGTGGCTTTCTGTAGCTCTAATGTAGCACATCCAGTTCTTGTCTCCATTTTAGCCTCCTAGGAGCTAACATCTATGGAGCTCATTTAAATTAAAAAAAATATATTTATTTTTGAGAGAGAGAGAGAGAGAGACAGACAGACAGACAGACAGAGTGTGAGCAGGGCAGGGGCAGAGAGAGAGGGAGACACAGAATCTGAAGCAGCTCCAGGCTCTGAGCTGTCAACACAGAGCCTGACACGGGATTTGAAGTAGAGTTGTGAGATCATGACCTGAGCTGAAGAAGGACACTTAACCGACTGAGCCACCCAGGTGCCCCACATGGAGCTCATTTACTACTTCATCTCCTGTCACTCTTCACAGTCACCCCATCACACAGCAACATCAAATTCAACATGAGACAATATCTTGTATATCCATATCTCTTAGTTTGGGTTGCCTCCAAACCAAACTCTGAAACAAGGATATGGGTGTAAATAGTTTATTTGTGAGGAAGCAAAGGAGAGAAAGAGGGAAGGGAGAAAGCCAATCAATGATGTGTTAGTGCACAGGTTACCACTGGGGCCCCTCTTACAGACTATACAGAACACACCTCAGGACTGTCTCACTGAGGGTTAGCAGAGCTGGGATATAATCCACCCATTTACTGTGGAGGGTCACTCCTGGAGGTATTAGCTCCCCAGTACTTGTAGCAAACAGCTATTTGTCCAGAGAATATCCTCAGGCAGAGAAATACAAGAAGCCACTGGTAGGTGACGTCCGGGTGGGCCAAAGACACCAATAACATGTTATATCATAGAGTACACATATTATGACCCTTTTCTCTGTTGCATTCTTCTCCTCTACTTGTCTTTCTGGACCGTTCAATATTTAGTCCATTGAAACCTTTCTTGATCTCCTGTGGGAGTGCTTTACTTCCTTCTCTGTGAACACTCTCTTCTCCTGCAGCTATTAGTTTACAGGTATGACCCCACACCGGGCTGTGGGATCCCCGTGGGCAGTATCTTGGGTACCTGTCTTGGTGTTTGGCATACAACAGATGCTCAATGTCTACGGGAAAGGACATGACTGTGGGTGTTAGAGAGAAGAGGATCCTGCTTTCCATACATGTAATTGAGAAAATCTTCAAAGAACTGAAATATATGCTCCTACATTTTGAATAATACAAAGTCAAGTGTGTAGGTGAGAGCACTGAGGTAGGAATCTTATATCCTAATTCAAGTTAGTTTGGCTCAGTTGCTTTCCCCGTAAGAGTGAGTGGCTGTGACTGATCTCTAAGCTTCTTTCAAGTTCCAGAGATTTCAAGTGACTAAATCTGTGTGTAAGTGAAAGCCAAAGCCCCAAACTGTACAATAACCACATATGGAAATAATTATGTTTGATATTCATCTGGATTCAAGGAAAGAATACAGGTGACAAAGCCTTGAGATGCTGGCAGGTTTCTAATGCTGTGTACATGAAAGAACCACTGTTGGACAGGGGTCTCCTGGGGGAGAGGACACCTTCCAGGGAGCAGCCTACTGCACAGGAGCTAGCCAGGCAGCAGGCTATACTCCAAGCTGGCAGGTGCCAGTGCCCTAGGTGCCAATGCCCTAATACTGCTGCTGGCCTCTCTGCCGTGTGGTACCATCTGATCATATTTAGGTTAGAGACTCAGATACCACTTCCTAAGTTCTTATCTAATCCCTGGAACAGGTTCTGTCTGCATTTCTGGAAGGAAGAAGACTAACTTAATACAGGTTATGCTTGGCTTCCCTGACGATCAGGTAGTCTTAATCTTCCTAGAAATGTGACGGGATTAAGAGAGGTAACAGTAAAGGAAGATTTATAGGTGGGTGTTGGGTTTCCATGTGTAACAGACTAAAAATTGTTGGGGGGGGGGGGTTATTTATTTATTTATTTATTTAGAGGGAGGGAGGGAGGGAGGGAGGGAGAGAGGGAGAGGGAGAGAATGTGCGTGCAAGGGGGAGAGGGACAGATGGAGAGGGAGAGAGAGAATCTTCAATCTTAAGCAGGCTCCATGTCCATCATGGAGCCAGATGTGGGGCTCAATCCCATGACTGTGAGATCATGATCTGAGCTGAAATCAAGAGTCAGACACTTAACTGACTGAGCCAGCCAGGTGCTTCGAGGAGGTTCATTTTAGATGGCAAATTCTCTGTTTTAAAATATTCTGAATATAGTCACTAGCATTCTGTGTACATTGAAAATGGGTGGATATTTCTTCAAGCAGCGAGACTTTAGAAGTTTCAGAATTTTTTAAAGTTTATTATTTTGAGAGAGAAAGAGAAAGTGAGCATGAGTGGGGGAGGGGCAGAGAGAAAGAGGGAGAGAGAGAGAATATCAAGCAGGCTCTGTGCTGTCAGCATACAGACCCATGTAGGGCTTGATCTCATGAACCATGAAATCATGACCTGAGCCAAAATCAAGAGTCAGTCACTTAACCAACTGAGCCATCCAGGCGCCCCACAAGTTTCAAAATTTTAATTTTAATTTTGGTTTTAATTTTCTTCTTGATAAATAATAAAAAACAATATATTTTTCTCTCTAACAAATCAATGGCAAGAAAAAAAGAGGCAGAATATTTTACAGAATAAAAAAGACTTAGGAGATATAATAACCAAATGCCACCTGAAATTTGGATTCTGATTCCAATAAACTCCTGGTAGAAAGATGTTTTGAGACAGTGGGGAAAGTGGACCAGGTATATTACAAAATGATTGTTTATTATGTTGGGGTGATAATGGCATGGTATTTATGTTTAAGACCTCAGAGATACATGCTGAATTATTTTGGGTGAAATGTCATGATACCTGAAATTTGTTATTACATGCTCTAGCATAACCCCTTTCCCACCAAACAAAAAACCAACAAGACAAAACAAAAAACCCAGGGTGTGAGCAGGAGGATAAAATAAGAATGGGAAAAATAAAATACTGATAATAGTTGGAGCTAGACAATGGCTATCCCTGGGGTTCATTATTGTACTCTCTCCTTTTGGGTATAAATAAAAAGAGCCACAATAAAAAAATTGTATGCAGTGCTGTTTAGAATTTAATTGTAAGAAAATTATTTTATTAAACATTCTTTCTTTTTTTTAATTTGAGAGTGAGAGAGAGAGAGAGTGTGAGTGAGAGAGAGAGCACACATGTGAGTGGAGAAGAGGGCAGAGGGAGAGAGAGAGAGAATCCCAAGCAGGCTCCACACTCAGCAAGGAGCCTGATGTAGGGCTTGATCCTACAACTCTGGGATCACAACCTGAGTCAAAATCAAGAGTTGAACACTGAACCAACTGAGCCACCTATGTGCCCCTACTGAACATTCTTAATATGCCTGATGGCTACATCATATTCCTATCAGAAACACTGAATCACTATTGCTAACAGATCTTTTTTTTTTTTAATGTCTATTTATTTTTGAGAGACAGAGACAGAGTGTGAGTGGGGGAGGGGTGGAGGGAGAGGGAGACACAGAATCTGAAGCAGGCTCCAGGCTCCGAGCTGTCAGCACAGAGCCCGATGCGGGGCTTGAACTTACAGACTGCGAGATCATGACCTGAGCTGAAGTCAGATGCTTAACCGACTGAGCCACTCAGGCACCCCTGCAAATGATTTTTAATTGGTGGGAGAGAAAAAATGCAACAGGGGTTTATTTTGTGCCCCCCACCCCCGCCCCAGAGAATTACTGCTTTTGCAGACAGTCCACAGGATGGGGTGAGGGGTATAAAGAGCCAACCAGGCCAGCAGTTGTCCCTGACACATTGGCTATAATCATGCCCATAGTGTACAGGATGCTTTTGGGCAACCAACTTGAGCAATGGAAACCTGAGTAAGGTAGAAGGGCCGACAGCAGCCCCTAGTTGAATACAACAGGCCAACAGGTGACCCTCCTCAAAATATCCTAAGCCCTAGCCAAAAACAATGGGTTACTTACACCCGGACCCTGGACACAGGTACCAAAAAAGGAAAATTCTATACATTTCCCTATACCCCTCACCTTCCCCCTTAACTACAGCCCCTCACCACTGCCTCATGGCAGCCAGTCTCTCCTTTGTTGTCCTGTCTGCTGGTCCCTTGCAGTGTTTTCAATAAACTTCTATCTCTTTTGTTCTGCCTCAGGTGAATTCTTGCAGGCCTCTACCACATTGGGTCTCCCCACACATAGATCATATGTAACTTTAGGGAGCTACTGTTTTTGGATGGCTCCCTTCCTTTATTCATGAAGGTATCTTGGAGAAAGAGACAAAAGGGGAAAATAAACCTAGGAGGCTGTAAATGAAAGCGTGTGAACAAACTTATGGACACTGTGAGGCTGCGCTGTATTGTGCTGAGGGCCTGGCTTGATCTGGTGTAGGCTTTGTAACTGACTCAAGGAGAATCACTTAATTCCTCTGGATTTCAGGAGAAGAGGGATGGATGACCCCCACGATCTCTTCCAGCAATGACAGTTAAGTTTATGACACCAAAAAGAAAAACAGACTTTGACAGGAGCATGTAGCTAGGGAAAAACAAGAAATATGAGGCTTGCCTCAGTATGGGAAACCAAGAAGGACAAAGGTAAGGCAAAGAAAAAAAGAGGCCAACATGACCACTTGCATCCCTATAAAATGACCCCAAGATTGGCAAAACTTTAGAGATGTTTCCAAAGTTGAGTCTAGATTAGTATCAAGTAGAAGCCTTACCTTCTGGTGACAGCAAAGCACAGCATGCACATTCCATGCAAGAGTCCTGCAGCATGCTGCAGAAAGGTGGCCGTCTTGGGATTCTCATCCACTGGGCCTTGCACAGAGAGGAAGCAGCCATGAAGCTTGTTGATCAGGCCTATGTTCACCACGTAGCTAGATGTGGGGAGAAACATATGTGTTATCAGTCTGCACAGGCTGGCAATATCGTCACCTTCAAAGATAAATCTTAACAAACATAGGCTTAGACCCCTCAAACAAGCAAACAATAGGTTTGGGTAAAGCATCTCAAGTAACAATTTCCTTAGATTTAGTCCTGAATAATCAGTTATTTCTGTAAGTGATTTGCTTCCTTCTTTTGGTCATTCTGATGCTATTTTTTTCAAGACAGATGAATGAAAATGATCATCTGATCATTTTTAGTGGTCTAAAGAGTCTGTCAATATTTGAAATGATTTATAATTATCTCTACACTCTTGAAAAGCAATACTTCTTAAAGTACCAGAGAGCCAAATTCCCTAGAATGTAGAGATTTAGAAAATAAGATGATGCTACTCAGATACTCTTGTTTCAACCTAAATTTCTAATGTAACTGTAGATTCTCTGTTTTCCAAAATCCTGTCATCATTAAGAGTATAATAATGAGAATCTAATTGCTCTCTGTTATGAAAAGCACCAGTCTTGACAGTTGACAATAACATTTAAGAAGTCACTTTCATCTTTTCATCCCATTAAACAGCTTTCCAGAACTGTATATTAAACTGGACCAAAAATAGTGGTTCTTTTATTAGTCTGCAAAGCAACTATCATTGAAAATAGTATTTTAAGACTATAAATTACCTGTAGATAAATCAGCTTTAGCTTAGAGATTTTATACTACTTCAGTGCTACTGTATTTACATGTATGAAAAGGGCAGGACTTTGTATGTAGTAGTTCTGAAAATCAACACATGTTAATTTTGGGAAGGGCCAACATGGTGAAGTAGGGGAATCCAAAGTTCTCTTGTCTCACAAACAAAGCAGTGTTGAAGCTCAAGGACTGTGAACTCGAGAGTCCGGGAGGCAGTCGCTTCCAGGGACTCTCCGGGACAACCTGACGGGCCATAGGTGCGTGATTGCAAACTGGGAGAGACAACGAATGGTGGGGAGGTATCCCCTTCTGCAGAGAGACAAAAGGAAGAGAAAGAGAGGCTGGGGAAGCATAGGACTGTATCTGGACAAGAGAAAAACCACGGACCAGGCCGGAGAAAGATCCAATCTTTAAATGAAGGGCTTTCTCTGCGGCTGGGTCCCGGCTGCCCGGATGGCGCACCTGGGAAGGAGGGGAGCCAGCCCCGGGCTTCGTGGTTAGGACAGGGGTGTAGTCCACAGTTGGAGAAAGTGATCCCCTCCCTGGTGTGCTGCGGGATAGGACAAAGCTTGCCCACGTCCACCAGCTAGGGACTATATATCGGGCGGTGTGCAGCTGTACTCCCCCAGTACCACGGAGCACAGAGCAGGAGTTTGAATCGCAATCAAGAGCCAGGGCACGGAAGTCGGCAGAGTGGGACAAACTGCCTCATTTGCGCCTGGGGCACAGTGAGGATGGCTTGAACAGAGTGGTTTGGGACACCTGGTCTGTGGAGGAGAGACTGGCATGTTGCCATTTTTCTCCCCACCACCAACAAGGTGGGGCTTCAGGCATCGGACAGCGGAACCCACACTGGAGGCTGGACCTGCCTACTCCAAACCACCCCTTCTGCACCTGGTAACTGCATATCTACTGGAGCGGAGTAGTAGCTGAGGAATTAGACAGCCCCTCCATGAGACCAGCACTGCTGCATTGCCTGGTTTAATTCTCCGACAATTCTTATTATATAGATACATTCTTCCTTCCTTTTCTCCTTCTTATCTCTTCCCTCTTCCAGTCCGGTTACTCTGGTTGTTGGTTTGTCTAAGCAGACATATTTAATCCATTCTCTTGATACATGTTCCACACCTCCTTCTTCATTCTCCTTTCTCTCTCTCTGGATTAAGCCAAATAGTTTCTCTGTCTGGCCAATGTTATTTTCTTTTCTTTTTTCCTGCCTCCTTTATTTTCCTTTCTCTCCCTCTGGATTAAGCTGTATAGTTTCTCTGTCTGGGCAATTTTTATTTTTTCTTTTTCCTCACCCCTGTCATTTCTCTCTTTGTATGGGATAAGGCCTCTTCCATCAGCACCACTCCCCCCTGTTGCTTACTTGTAGCTGGTGTTTCTTTTTGTTTTGGGGTATTTTTTGTTTGTTTGTGTGTTTGTGTATTTTTGTTTTCTGTTTGTTTTTTGTTTTCCTCTCCAGGGCCACATCAATGAACAAATCAAAACACACCTAGTGGAGGGTTTGAAATATCAGTATGAGTAGGGAGATAAAGTAATCAAAGTCACAACAACAGAGAGCAAGTAACGCACTCCAAAAAACACCTCCTAAAGGGCCAGGCCCTGGACAGTGTATGACGCCTCTTTAATATAGTAGTGCTCAAAGGTGAAGGGCAGATAACAAGCTTTGAAAACACATAAGGGACAGAAAACTAGCCAAAATGACGAAATGGAAGAATTCTTCTCAAAAGAAATTCCAGGAAGAAATGACAGCTAAAGAACTGCTCAAAACAGATATAAACAATATAACTGAACAAGAATTTAGGATAATAGTCATAAGATTAATCGCTGGGCTTGAAAAAAGCATAGAAGACAGCAGAGAATCTATTGCTACAGAGATCAAGGAACTAAAAAATAGGCATGATCAATTAAAAAATGCTGTAAATGAGGTGCAAAATAAACTAGAGGTACTGACAGCAAGAACTGAAGAGACAGAGGGGAGAATAGGTGAAATAGAAGATAAAATTATAGAAAAAGATGAAGCTGAGAAAAAGAGATAAAAAAAAATTCTGGATCACAATGGGAGAATCAGAGAACTGAGTGATTCAATGAAATGGAACAAAATCTGTATCACAGGAGTTCCAGAAGAAGAAGAAGACAGAGAGAAAGGGGCTGACAGTGTGCTTGAACAAATTATACCTGAAAACTTCTTCAATCTGGGAAAGGAAACATGCATTGAAATCCAGGAGGCACAGAGAACTCCCTTCAGACATAACTTAAACTGATCTTCTGCATGACGTATCATAGTGAAACTGGCAAAATACAAGGATAAAGAAAGAATTCTGAAAGCAGCTAGGGATAAACAGGCCTTAACCTACAAGGATAGACACATAAGGGTAGTAGCAGACCTATCTACTGGAACTTGGCAGGCCAGAAAGGAGTGGCATGAAATCTTCAATGTGATGAACAGGAAAAACATGCAGCCAAGAATCCTTTATCCAGCAAGCCTGTCATTCAGAACAGAGGAGAGATAAAGGTTTTCCCAAACAAAAACTGAAGAAATTCATCACCACTAAACCAGACATATAACAGATCCTAAGGGGAACTCTGTGAGTGTAGCAAAGACCACAAAGGACCAGAGACACCACTATAAGCATGAAATCTACAGATAAGACAGTGACTCTAAGCCCATATCTTTCAATAATAACACTGAATATAAACAGACTAAATGCTCCAACCAAAGGAAATAGGGTATCAGAATGGATAAACAAACAAAAAAACACAAGACCCATCTATTTGCTGTCTACAAGCGATCAATTTTAGACCTGAGGACACCTTCAGATTGTAAATGAGGGGATGGAGAACCATCTATCCTGCTACTGGAAGTCAAAAGAAAGCTGAAGGAGCCATACTTATATCAGACAAACTAGATTTTAAACTCAAGACTGTAACAAGAGATGAAGAAGGGCATTATATAATAATTATGCAGTCTATCCATCAAGAAGAGCTAACGATTATAAATGTTTATGTACCAAATTTGGAGACACCCAAATATATAAAACAACTAATCGCAAACATAAGCAATCTTATTGGTAAGAATGTGGTATTTGCAGGGGACTTTAATACTCCACTTACAACAATAGATCATCTAGACACAAAATCAATAAAGAAACAATGGCCCTGAATGATACAATGGACCAGATGGACTTGACAGATATATTTAGAACTTTTCTTCCTAAAGCAGCAGAATATATATTCTTTTTGAGTGCACATGGAACACTCTCCGAGATAGATCACTTACTGGGTCACAAAACAGCCCTCAATAAATACAAAAGAATTGAGATCATTACCATGCACACTTTCATATCACAATGCTGTGAAACTTGAAATCAACCACAGGAAAAAGTTTGGAAAACCTCCAAATGCATGGAGGTTAAAGAACACCCTACTAAAGAATTAATGGGTCAACCAGGCAATTAGAGAAGAAATTAAAAAATATATGGAAACAAATGAAAATGAAAACACAACAATCCAAACCCTTTGGGATGCAGCAAAGGCAGTCCTGAGAGGAAAATACATTGCAATCTAGGCCTATCTCAAGAAACAAGAAAAATCCCAAATACAAAATCTAACAGCACACCTAAAGGAAATAGAAGCAGAACAGCAAAGACACCCCAAAACCAGCAGAATAAGAGATACAATAAAGATCAGAGCAGAAATCAACAATATAGAATCCAAAAAAACAGTAGAACAGATCAATGAAACAAAGAGTTGGTTTTTTTAAAAAAATAAATAAAATTGATAACCCCCTAACCAGACTTCTCAAAATGAAAAGAGGGCCTAAATAGATAAAATCATGAATGAAAATGGATTTATCACAATCAATCCCCCAGAAATATAAGCAATTATCAGAGAATACTATGAAAAATTATATGCCAACAAAACTGGACAACCTGGAAGAAATGAACAAATTCCTAGACACCCACACATGACCCAAACTCAAATGGGAAGAAATAGAAAATTTGAACAGACCCATAACTAGTGAGGAAATTAAATCAGTTATCAAAAATCTCCCAACAAATAAGAGTCCAGGATCAGATGGCTTCCCTGGGGAATTCTACCAGACATTGAAAGCAGAGATAATACCCATCCTTCTCAAGCTGTTCCAAAAAATAGAAAGGGAAGGAAAACTTCCAGACTCATTCTATGAAGCCAGCATTACTTTGATAGCCAAACCAGACAGAGACTAGGCAAAAGAAGAGAACTACAGGCCAAAATCCCAGATGAATATGGATGCAAAAATTCTCAACGAGACTAGCAAATAGAATTCAACAGCATATAAAAAGAATTATTCACCATGATCAAGTGGGATTCATTCCTGGGCTGCAGGGCTGGTTCAATATTTGCACATCAATCAATGTGATACATCACATTAGTAAAAGAAAGGATAAGAACCATATGATCCTGTCAATCGATGCAGAAAAAGCATTTGACAAAATATAGCATCCTTTCTTAATAAAACCCCTCGAGAAAGTCGGGATAGAAGGAACACACTTAAACATCATAAAAGCCGTATATGAAAAGCCCACAGCTAATGTCATCCTCAATGGGGAAAAACTGAGAGCATTTCCCCTGAGATCAGGAACATGACAGGGATGTCCACTCTCACCACTGTTGTTTAACACAGTGTTGGAAGTCCTAGCCTCAGCAATCAGACAACAAAATGAAACAAAAGACATCAAAATCGGCAAAGAAGAAGTCAAACTTTCACTTTTCATAGATGACATGATACTTTTTACACAGAAAACCCGACAGACTCCACCAAAAGTCTGTTAGAACTGATACACGAATTCAGCAAAGTCGCAGGGTACAAAATCAATGTACAGAAATCAGATGCATTTTTATACACCAATAATGAAGCAACAGAAAGAGAAATAAACTGATCCCATTTACAACTGCACCAAGAACCGTAAGATACCTAGGAATAAACCTAACCAAAGATGTAAAAGACCTGTATGCTGAAAACTATAGAAAGCTTATGAAGGAAACTGAAGAAGACACAAAGAAATGGAAAAACATTCCGTGCTCATGGATTGGAAGAATAAATATTGTTAAAATGTCAACACGACCCAATGCAATCTATACATTCAATGCAATCCCAATCAAAATTGCACCAGCATTCTTCTCAAATCCAGAAAAGCAATCCTAAAATTTGTATGGAACCACAAAAGACCCCAAACAGCCAAAGTAATATTGAAGAAGAAAACCAAAGTGGGAGGCATCACAATCCCAGACTTTAGCCTCTAATACAAAGCTGCAATCAAGACAGTATGGTATTGGCACAAAAACAGACACATAGACCAATAGAATAGAGAACCCAGAATTTGACCCACAAATGTATGGCCAACTCATCTTTGATAAAGCAGGAAAGGGCATCCAATGGAAAAAAGACAGTATCTTTAGCAAATGGTGCTGGGAGAACTGGACAGCAACATGCAGAAGAATGAACCTGGACCACTTTCTTACCCCATCCACAAAAATAAACTCAAAATGGATGAAGGACTGAAT